AGCATCTCATACAGCCTTGGAGTTTTTCAGGTATCTTCAATTTCGTGCAGACGAAGCCTGGTAATGTATTTGCAAGTCATACTTGCCATCTGAAGCAAGCGAAGAGCAGGGGACCAAACACCATTCCACATTAGTACATGCTCTTGTGCAAGGCGCAGGCGCGTAACTCAATCCAGGTGAGGAGAGGTATGGTGCAAAGACAATGTTGTCCAATAGACGCACATGGAATGTCACGGGGCCACCAGACCTCATCTTTCAAAGGTAATCCGTTTTCTACTTTGGAATCTACTCCTCCCACGTTTTCTGTAGGGCGGCAGCAGCAGCAGCAGCAGCAGCGGCGGCGGCGGCGGCGGCGGCAGCGGCAGCAGCAGCAGCAGCATGATTGGTGCGCACTTCAAGAATGACTGCGTTAGCTTCTACTACGCCAAGTTGCAGAACTCCCATAGTCCACATGTCCACACCTGCAGCAGCAAGCTTTCGGGCTTTGTGGCATCACGGCATATCATGCATAGAAAGGCAGCAATCCTCGAGGCAAGCATTGCCAACAGCTCCTGATACGCTGCCGCTACCCAGACACAACTTGGCCAATGTGATGTTTTTGGCGTTGTGCAAGCTGTCGAGGTGCCCCTCTCACGTTGCCCCAATACACACCCTCGGTTGCTCGAGCCATTCTCGAGTCCATGCAGGGATCCCGTGCTTGCAAGAAGGACTCATTCTTTGATAGCAAAAGTCGTAGCGGTCATCTTTTTTGTCGGAAGCTGGCCAGACATTTTTGATCTGTTGATTGTGTTGGGTGTTTAAAGACTTCTTTGACGGCGGGGGCATGCTTGTGACTTGCATCTACGAAATAGATCTCTCTTTGAGCTTGAATCCTGCTCATAGGCTCATGCCTTGACACCCACTTCACGCGCGAGGTTCTGCTATCCAGTCTCGGAACAAAGACCTTTCTCTCCTTTTGCATCTTTTACTTGTCGGACTTAGGATTCGAACATGTGCGCATCTCTTCCTGCTCCGTGCGGGGCCCAGAGAACATTCTGTTTGTTTGTTTGGTTGGTTGAGGACCTTCCTTCTTGGATCCTCCAATAGGCCATGGAGAGCTTTGTTTCCATGATTTTCCATGTTGTCTACTCAATGCGCGAGTCATCGCGAGTCTAACCTCGTGCTCTTGGCTTGGTCATCCGCGACAGGCCTACCGTAGATGGTCTTCGACTCAATGGAAGCAGGCAATCCTTGTACCCCTCGTGTGCTGAAGCTTGGTTTCGCACTTTCATCGTGACCGGTGCCACGGATCATCTCCTGGATTTGGCAGGATGCGGGAAGTTTGCACATGCAGATGCCCGCAGCAGCATCTGCACACCTAATGCGACGAGGAACGGGAGCAAGGTAATCCAGCGTTCCACAGAAGGTGCTGCGCTTATCCTGACAAAAGTAACGCTACAAAGTGTAGCTCTGCAATTTTCCTTGAGATTGCTTGCACCAACACTTGCGAAGGCCGAACTGGCAGCTCTCTCTCAAATTGCATTAGGAACATGTTGCAATGCATGAAGAAATGTTCCTAATTCCTGGCACCCAGACCCCAAAGCCTTAAGCCCTACCCTCCCCCAAACTAACGTGAATCCATCCCTCAATGGACCCAGGGGTCTCACTCATCTAGGAGGTTTCCACCCATCCCATGCTGCTGAAATTTGCCAATGGGGAAGAAAACTAATTAGCTTAAGGTCCATCACTGAACTGATTCAGCCTGCTCCAGGAGATTTGCCCAGCCAAAATCAGCCAACTTCGCTGAATCTTTGGAGTCCTCAGGCAGCAAAGGGATTCAAATGCCACCCTGGAGTGCTGACTGCCCACAAGTGCCTGTCAGCTCAGGCGATCCAGCTACAGTATGCGACAGCGATAGAAAAGCTTGAACAGCAGCAAATGGGTTGAACAAGTGGCAAGCAATATGTTCTCGGGCTTGATGTCCCGGTGTATCACCTGGCACTAGCCGCACACTTTACTCTGACCAACGTGCGTTCAGAATTCAAGGCTTACAGATCAGCGCTACTGCGATCAGGAGGGCCCACTCGGTGATGGCAGCACAAACCAGAGTCATTTCCCGTGCGGCATCGCAAGCCATCCTTACCTTTGAATTGTTGGGCTCACGCTGCCATGTGCACAACCAGCAGCTGACTGGCTCCACCGACAAGGTACATGATCCGCATGCTTGTCAGCTTCAGATTTCAACACCTTGTCCGGCAGGTGATGCAAGTAGTCCAGCGCCTCACACCTTTGATGTTGGAGGCAAACATATTGTTGGATGCCACCTCGGCGCTATGCCTTGTGGCACCTATGAGCAGGCCACCTCTTGCGGTGAGATGTCAAAAACTTGTGATTGTCACATATCACATGTTTCACTAGACTTCAGCTGAACCAGCAGTGGTCAGGAAGCCTCATAGACGTGCAGACCACAGCTTTGACTATGCTAGTTACAAGCCTGGTTTGCACATGAACATGTGATTGGCATTGCAAGACTGGAACATACAAGAGAAGGCTCCGTCATTATGTTCATGTGCTCACCGTGCAAACAGGCGACGTCTGCAGGAAGTAGGTGGCAGCACCTTGAGCGAATTGCCAGAGCGAATATCTTCAGGCTTGTGCAAGGCTGTTTGGGTTTGAGCAATGTGGCGAAAGTGCATCTTCAGTAAGGAATGGTTCTGAGTCTGGTGCAGGTGTTACCATGCTGAATTTCTCCAATAGTAGGTGCCCAGTACAAGGATCTCATCAGGTAGCATCGCAGCCTTGCTTCCCTCAGAGGTCCTCAGAGCAAAGGACTCAGCAGTTGGGCGCACCTTTGAAGCTCCAGCTTGTTTTGTCACGTTGTTGTTCTTTTGATCGCACCATGTGTGCAGACTTACATGATAAGGCCCCACCAACTCTTCATTCCACTGCTTCAGACTTTGGTGGTCATGTGACGTGCTAGTACCTTGCTCACGTCGTGTTCAGTTGGGAAGGTTTGAGAGAGTCAAACAATAGGGCTGCCTGAGCGACAGTGCTAGCCAGGCCCCATCAGGCCGCTTTACCTGTGCCGCTCAGACTAGGTCTCATTATCCAAGGCCTGATGCAGAGGAGAAGCCGGGCTCAGATACATCACTGCACATGTCCTGGCGAACACCTCAAAGACACCTACCCAGTCGGGGTCAGGAACTTGCAGATTGCCCGTCCGATATGATGAATGATGGCCATAAGCGACTTTCCTGTCGTTTCCTGTCCGCTGGGCCTCGCACGCTGGCAAGAGAACTTCTCTGCCTTCTGGAGCTTGTCAAACAAGCTGCCACCTCTTCAGCTCAAGGAAGGGCTCCTATGTTTGGGATGTTCGTGTTAGGTCCCGATGCAATTGCAACAGTGCGAAGAAGCCAAGAGTTGTGTTGATTTATGTAGGCTGGGGAGGACAAGAGTCAGAAAACGCTTCAGGAATGCTGCTGATCAACGCAACTGCTCAGCAAGGTTGCAGATCGCTAGCCCGCAGATGAGTGCATTGCAATGCCATGCAGCTTCGGCGCCTGCGCAGAATTCCATACCCAAATACCTCACGGTCATTGTGAACGACTTGCATCAACAAATGTGACATGCAGCACGTGCAGCCCGAGCTGCACGAAGTACTTGTCTTCAAAATGGAAATACAACCTCACAACAGCAGCACATCAGCTTTGCGGATTGGGCATATTGTTGCTGCACGAGGTTGTCTGCAAAGAAACTTGCGTCGGCCTCACAATTCGAGGGTGCTGCAAGGAGTACAGGATATTTATCTCGCCTGGGTTCCCAGTCTGGCGGTCACAATCACAAACAAAGTGAGGCAGGTTTGCAAAAGTGTGCATGTGAAGGAAAAATGCACCAAGCTGCGCTTAAGCTGATCAAACAACTGATTTTCCAGAATCAGCTGCAGTCGCACCTGTGCTGGAGACTGAGCTCAGTCCTTGTTGCAAATACACAGCAGAACAGCACCTTCTTCACCGCGACGGCTTTGCGATCGCTCTTGGTCTGAGCTTGCCAGACCTGCAGCTTGAGAGTACTGGTGGGGAGCTGTTGTTCTTGCCTACCGTCATAAACACGCCTGAATCATTTCCTTCCATGATCTTCCATCTCTCACAGCGGGCTTGTTTCGCATGTTGCAATGCATGTGAGGGGGTCTTACTTTCAAGTAGCACGTGGTATGCTCGTCTTGTGACCCAGCGACCTCTCCGAAGTATCCGCGCCCCAGGCATTTCTCAAAGTGTAGATCCTGGACAATGCTTTGCCAAAGGTAAGAGTATGCTGTGGCGGAAGTTGCGCAAAAGCATGGACCGAGAATAAACTTCATTCAGCTTGCCCACTCACACCCCAATTGGGTGGTCGAGCGCTCCTCGGCTCCTTTGGCTCGGGGATGGCTCGCCATGGCGGCGCGGCATTCTGCACTTCATGACTGGATGGCAGCAGAGTATCAGAGCCTGCAATTTCCTGAGGCTCAGCACCTCATGACACCTCATGCAAGCTGGATAAGCGGGTGCCCGGCAAGGCACCGTCGGTGCCAACCAAGAGCTGGGACCATGATCCATGGCGGCCCAGCTTCCAAGCACGAACTGGGAAAACACTTTGTCGGATTCTGTTAGCAGCCTGTGAGCCTGCCCTGCTCCTGAGATCCTGGAACTTCTCCCGACATGAGTTTGGCAGAAATCTGTCGGCTGACTGACATTGAGCCCGAACAAGGCGCAAGGCTTCAGCTTAGGCCAGCAGAGCGCACAGGACCGCTCAGGATTTCTAAGCTTTCGAGTGCTTGTAGAACCTGGCCCAGCCTTTCGTCGACAGGACTCCAATGATGATTTCTTCGGTAAGGAGGATTCAAGTGTTTGCAACTGTGTTTCCTAGTCAAGTTGTTGGATGAAACTCGAGACACATCGAGATTTGTAAGCCGTACCTCAATATGAGACAGTATATTAAGCATGCTTCAGACTACAGTGCCACCATGATTGCAGAACCTCCCTGGCCTGCGCATCCTCGGGGTCTCTAATGGCAAGCCGCAGCCTGAACATGTGTGCTATGCTGTACGTGAAGTTACGTCTGAAAAGACGTTTGTTTGATCTGCTGTTAAGCCCACGAAATGGTGGCATCAGCTTTCTCTGTCGAAGCCCAAGTTGGACAAGTGATTCTCAAGGACACACGACAGATGAAGGCCTTTGCAAGCTTATCGACTACACCTGCTCATCAAATTACATGCCATTTGCTCTTGCTGTGCCTGACCTCATTTCAGATAAGCAAATTTACAAGTTAATGCCAAACATCAAGGGAATCATACCCTCTTCCAAGAAGATGTTGTTCTCCCCAACGAAAAACCCTTGGGTTGGAAGCGCAAACCTTTCTGAACATGGGGATTAGCAACTTGCGGATGCTTCGCGGCATCAGTACTTACGTTTCTTTTTTTCTCCAGGCTAGTCCTGCTGCGAAATCCCATCATATTCTGGCGGCAAGGGGGCCTTCGAAAACTCGTTTTAATTCAAATGTCGGCGGGATGTCGGTCTCAAGCGATCTCCCCAGAAGATACATTTTAAAACATCTTTTGCACATGGAGCAACTACTTTAGCTCATTGTCTCTCTGATTGGCGGTATGTTGAATCCGTGGCCTTGCTCTACGTATATTTGATCTCACTTCTTACCGACTCAAAATGCTGTGAGCTCATCCGATATTTGGGACACGACGACTCAAATAAAACATGTGGAGAACTCGACCCATCTTGTTCAATCCGTGGTCCCTATCCTTTTCCCAAGTGAGCGCCGGATTTAGAAGAAGAATGCTGACAAGGCTAGTCTTCTGCAGTCTGATGTAGATAAATGCGGCTGCTCACATGATTGCGGCCCGAAGTTTTCCTCATTTTGCTCCTGTCATCTCTTGGCCACTACGAGCACCTAAGCACACCAAAAGAGTTCTCCAAGGCTTTGGCAGCAGGAGCAAAGCTCCATGTTTCGCTTGCCAGGCCTCAGGTCCAGAACGACTTCACAAATCTGACATTTGTCATGTCCTCTGAGCAGTTTGCTCAATTCTTGCTTAAAATGGTCGTGTGCCTCCGTCTGCATCAGTTGGACAGCCGCTTCGTGTAAGCGGAAGCATACCTGTGCCAGATGTGCCGGCAGCTTTGCTTGAGAAAGCCGTGATTTTGCGAAATTTTGCAAGGCTCTGACCTGGCCACCTCGTTGGACCAGGCGGCAAGCATCGTCCAAAGCTTCCTGCACATGAGGGCTGTGGTAAATATGGTAAATTCATTGCCAAAACCCATAACCACCACACATTTAGCGGAGCTTTTGCGCGCACACTGCAACTCTGATTTTGGATACCGCTGGTTCCGTTTGAGAAGCAACCCAACCAAAAACCATGAATCACGACCTTCCACTGACGTCTTTCGCACGTGTTTCTAGAAATCCAACCCCGGAGCTCTGTCTTGCAAACGCGCTGTGACCGAAAATATCATCCCAGGGTTTCGTGCCAAAGTTGGGGCCGACATGGTGGGGTTTGCTGCTTTTACAGATTAGGACTAATTACATCCTCGGAAACTTCCAGGTTTCAAATGGTTTCAAAAAGGTCTCTGGCACAAATCACCGATGCACTTCCCAGTTGTGTCGCGCGAAGGTCCTGCAGCAAGGCCTCTTCTGCTCGACTCTTGTCGGCATGGTCCGCAGACTCTTCGGCCTACTGCATCCATCAATGCGGAGCAGGGTTGCTGAGAGCAGCACGTGCCGACTCGGACTTTTGTTTATCTTTTTGCAGAGCTTTGCAGTGAAGAGCCACAATAGAAGCTCACTGCCGGAGTCAAGCAAGCCCGACATCGGGGGTTTTCTTGGTCGTGCGCAGCGACTTGGCAGCTGAGTCTCAATGTCGCTCATTGAGCTAGAAGTATATAGCGGGTATCAATAGGGCATCAACTGGACAGATTTCGAAATTCAAGTCCACGATTCAGCTGCTCTGGCTGGCAACGACTTGAATTCACTGTCGCATCAGTTGTTGCTATCTTCAAGCACGGGGCGTGTTTCAGAAAGACTCAGCAAGTAAAGCACTGTAAAGAGCTGTAGATACCGTAAAAAACTGTACATTAACGTAACTAGGCCTGGGATGTTCCACTCGCATCTACTCGTAAAGGTAGTGGATCTGTGCAGGTCACGCTGCGCTTGGGCAGCGGGGTCATCAGCATTCCTGCAAGCACCTCAAAGACACGGCAGGCAGATCAAGGAAACTCAAGGTAATGATGGTTGCAGGTGAGCCTCAATGAGGCGCAGCCCTAAAAGAAATCGTCGGGGAAGTCAAGGGCCGGCGAATGCCGGCCTCGCTTGCTTCTTGTTGGGCAAAACCACCTGCGCTTTCTGCGCTTTGTGGCTGACACGTTCACGGACTTGCTTGACCAAACAGTTGGGCATTTCTGTCAAGGGAAAGCGTATTCTCAGGTGAGCATGATTGAGTGCTACAAGCAACTGGCAGGTGTTTTTGGGGGGCTTGCGGGCTGGTCTGCAGAGTTCAGTGTCTGGCTGTCAGATCTGCTCAGATGTTTTAGAGATACCGCGCCAAGGCGCACTCATGGCCACAAAGAGCACGGCAAGCGCCTTGGGCAAGTGATGGCAAGTGAGATCCAGACAGCCTGAGCCTTGCCTGAAGCCCCTGTTGCTGGCGCAGTGGCCCAGTTGAAGTCACTTCCATTGGGACTTTGCAGGGATGCTAGCTAGCCTTCATCAAGCGTGGCACCTCCCACATTTTGACATACTCACTAATTACTAATTACACATACTGTACATGAAAGTCCTGCAACGGCTTTGTAGACAAGAAAGGAAACCACACGATGATGCAGTTGCCACACACCACAAACATCCAAAATGACTGCCGCTAAGACACCACAGAAATGCAAATGAGGCTGGACCTGTGCAAGTGAAGCGCCAACGTAAGCTCAGCCGTGACGCTCTCGCACGTTCAATGCCATCTTAGCTTACTTGATCTCCAAGCCTGGTGTGATAAGAGTTTCCCAGGACCACGCCGATGAAGAACGACCTGGGAATAGCTCTTCAGATTTGATCATCTCTTCAGAAACTGACACATAAGCAGCCCGGACAGATTACAAAGTTAAATGGAAATGTCCCCGAGCTCTTATTCTGCTTGCAAGGTTGAACGCGAGCCCTTCCCAGCTTGCCATTGAGCGGCAGCCACATGCCGAGCGGGACTACCGCTTTCTTGAGGTCCTACAGACAACTACGTCTGCGCGAAGGGGGGCAGTGCAAAACCTGCCTGTAAACCATACGGAATAACCTACAACAGCTTGGATTACGTTACATGTTGCAAAACACGTCTTTAGGAACAGACACGTTCGCGAAACATCTCGTGGCGCCGCTCCCGCCGAGTCTTAACAGGAACAGGTTTTGAAAACTGAAGCTGAAGACGTTGTTTGGACGCATTGTTGAGCCTTCCCCCCATGCCAAGGATGGTTAGGGGCAATTTTTTGTGGGCCAGCATCATCAGCACAATTGGGCCTTCATTACTCACTTTTTGACACCTGAACGTACATGGGGTCTTGGAGGGATGCTGGATCCTCACAACATGCGCCGTCTCCAGAGGGAAATGCGAAGCCCAAGCAGAAACCCCTGCAAACGCTCAAAATAAAAGCTGTGGGCAATATGTGTGGCGTAGCATCTGTATTGCATGACAAGCATGCGCAAGGCTTAGCGTGCATTACCCAGGACAAACCCTGCAAGTTGAGCATCTCGCATGGCATTTTGAAGTCTTTCGCTCATATTTCCCGGACTCTGGGGGCTCCTCCGCTACCTTTGTGCACCACTTTAACCTATCAAATACGCCATAATGCTTCAAGAAAAATCAAAAACAAGCTGCATGCGGGCCAAAACGCGCGTGCGCCTGGTACGCGAGCAACATCAGCACAATTGGGACCCCATGCCAGGTAAAAAATGGACGAAAGAGGCTTGGAATAGCTAAATCACCATCAAAGTTGCGAGAACATCACTTTTTGCAGAGGCTTCTCATGATCTCGTACATCGTCAGGGTTTTGGGTAGGGATTTTGGGGGTGGCCAGGCCGACACATGCCGTCAGGCCAGTTATGAGGTTCTGCTTGTTTGTTCGAGGCTCCAGTTCCAGAAAACTGTGATGCAGCCGTGTAAAAACTTTGTTTTCCCGTGAAAAACTGGAGTCCTATATAGTCCTATGGAGCGTAGAATCTCGCTCCCTCTAGATGATTTTGTTCTCCTTCTAATTTAGACTTGGATGAGATCTTGCGGAAAGGCCTTCAAGCCGCAGAAGCTAATATTCTAACTCTAATGTGGATTTCCAAGGGTGGACGTCCTGAATCTCAAATCCATGGAGGTAGTGTGCCTCGGGCATGAACTGATCGCACTTAGGGAAACAATCTCTGGCAAAGCGGCGTTCAAGCCTGTAGACCCTTCAGCAAACAAAAGCGCGCACATTCTCTGACCATGTCTGAACTTGGTCAAGCGGCAAAGTGGTATGCGGAGCTCAGCATGTTTCCTTGAGATCACTGGTCGTTGGCTGTGCCAGGCACACGCGATTCTCACAGCCATGGAATATGCGAAGCTAAACTTGCAAGCACATGGTTGACCGGCTAGTACGGCTAAGTCCCCAATTCCTACTGCAATGTGTCGTGCTTCAACATGGGGCAGGTGTGCCACAGCAATGGCATGCAAGTCACGCTGGGCAGGCTAAGCTTCCGTAGGAAGGCTTGCTCAAAAGATGCTCTGGCTATCCTAAAGACCCCAATGCAGCCAAGGGGCCAGATGCTGCCCATGGTACGCCTGCCGTGCAAAACTTTCGAATCGCGTCGCAGCTTGGTGCAGCTTACTGGTTGTCATTGTGCATTTCCGTGACCTCCCTACCATGCCTTGCAGTCCGCACTTCATGGAGATGGAGCCAGTGACCCCGAACACCGGCGCCAACCTCGGACTCAGCATGCAAGGGGTTGGACGAGGCTGCCAACCTTGGTTCCATGACTTCTTTTGCGGCATAAGCTCCGTCTGATCGCACATTCTGCATACTGTGTTCTTCACTTCACTTGCGTCAGCTCGCAGCCCGAAGCAACCAAACATACAGGATGGAAGGGCATCCACTACGCGCAAGGATTTTCTGAGACGCTCTTCAATACCGCATTAACGCTACATGGTTGGCCAGTTTGCCTGGCCTCTTCCCCTCTGCGTTCAGGATCGCCGGGGTGCCAAGGAAAAAAAGTGGCTCCCAGGTGGTACCAAGCACTGGATGTTGCTCTTACATGTGCGAACTGGCAGCAAGTCTTCCGACATGCACGTGGCGCACAATCCAAATTGAAGACGGAATTCATCTGAGGAAACTCGCAAAAGTATCCTAAGTGGACTGCTGCATGCAGCACGTGGTTGCTTAGATTTGAGGGCACTTGAGCAATGCTCCGGGATATCACCATTAGGCCAGAGCTGGCCTGGACAAACCAAGCAGCAGATAGGCATAGTATCTGTCATCGTGAGCACTAGCTGCACCAAAGCCAAAGACATGCCCTCGAACTTCCTCTGCAAGTATGGCCTGCAGGAGACGCCGCACAAAACTCACCTGGAACGTGAAGCAACACCTCTAGCTCCTCTGCCCAAAGCCAAAGCGCTTTCTGAAGCTGCCAAGATACCAGGACAATCATGGGAGCAAAGGCTCTCGGAGTCCAGCCGTAGGTTTTCCTTTCAAACCAGCACATTGGTTCTTCCACGAAATCTTTGCCGCTTGCCCAAGGGAGTACCACATGAGCACAGCCATTCCTGTGGCTTTACTGATTGGAGCGTCTTCAGACACGTAAATGACATTGCCTTCGTCACTTGAATATATCCCAGCCGAAACGGTCAATACCCCAGGACCAACCTCAAGATGCATTCCAAGTTGCTCCACGAGCCCATGAAAAAACCTCAGCCATCACAGTATGTTATGCATTGCGATAAGAAGAGAGCAAGATGATGTGGGCGCGTGCTTCAACGGGATGAAGAGTGTGCTACAGTGTGACCCGTCTTGGCGCTCCGCGCGTCAAGTATGTTCAACTGGCTGGTTGGACTGCACTCGGCTTTCAGTGATGGTATGCTGAGCCTCTGTGCTGTCAAACTTCCGCAATGCTGTCTGGCTGCGCACCGCAAACGAACAAGAGGATCAGCACAGCGTAGTGCTTGGGCCTGAACTGCATCTAGCCAAACGATGGCAGGGCATGCAACAGTGTACTTAAAGTCGGCCTGCTTAATAGCACAGCTACCTGCACGCCTCCCTGGTCAAGCAATGTGGCAAGCAATGGTCAGGAGAGCTTACACGGCTCAGCTCGCCACGGGAACTCAGCAGGACATAGCTTGATCTCTTGAGGAGTCCTTTGCAACATGACAAAAATTCGCTTCGGTGGCATGCGGCAATAGCGAACACATCGCAGAAACGTTTCATTACTTTGACCATGACTGGTGGACTGGTGGCCAGCATTGTCTATCTTCTCATGCCGTGGTACACTGCCCAGCATCATGTTCAGCGAAGTACAACACGAATTCACGTCATGGTCTGCAATTCAAGCAGGGCTCACCACCAGACCTTCCTGGCATGCCAACGAGACCCCCATAAGGATGGTGTTGCCTGGAACAGGCGATTCACGCGGAAGGATCTTTGGGATACAGCATGTGACGCACAGAGAGTATTTGCCATAGGAAAATTCCCTGCGAGCATGACACCTACCATCATCGTTGCGAAGATTCGGAACCTGTGCGGAGTGCAGCAATACAAAAGAACAAACAGCGACATGGCTTAAAACCGTTCGACGTAGGCAGCTGCCTGAACATCATGATGCTGTTGGTCCAGCCAAGGACAAGACCTGGTGACAGCATCAAGCCCGCTCTCTGCAACACATATTTACCAATTCATGAGTACATCAAAGTGTGCTGTCTTTCAGCACCATGTCGCTCTGAGCCCAATATCTGCAGAGTAAGGCGCAAAAACAAAGATGCAAGGTAGTCCTCAGATTGGCTAAGCGGCAGGCATCTGCAACTGACTTTGCGCCAATCCATGCGTGAGCATTTCGGAAAGGCGTGCCAACGGAATGACAGCAACTCTGAGGGCATACCCCATGTGCGTTCAGTCCAAAGCCAGTGGAGGCCCCAGCTTTGGCAAACAAGCAAACGAACCCGTTTGTGCCGAGCTCCAATTCAGCCAAGCGGCTTAGACCATTCTTCCATGCTCACAACATCAAAATCTAGCTCCATTGCTGCTCGCTTTGTACAAACGCGCCAAGGATTAGCACTTCACGACTGCCACTTCCAGCTGGCAGCCAAACTTGCTGCAGCAATAGCAGCACAAAGTTGGCACACATCACAAAGGCACACACTGCTTGAAAAATGCCCTGTGCGCAAGTTGTGCCTCTGCTTCCTCGTCGATGACTTCTGCCCACCACTCGGTAGCCTGGCGTTGGGGGCTATCAATAGCAGGCTATTAGCCACGCTCAGGCTTTCGAAAATGGGCGGTTCCGTTGGACAAGAGTTCCGAAAATGCTTTTCTCATGAGACTCAGAATAGATTTTGAAAAACTGCAGCTTTATTGAACCATGTGCGATTGGAGATTCGAGTCATGAAGTTGCAGCTCCCTCATGCCTGCAGAGCATGTGCGCCCGTATTTGTTCTGTGTTTTGTGTGGCGATTTTTCTTTCGCGATGCTATACTAGGACATCTTCGGAGTCACATTTTGACAACCCAAAACCAGTTGTCAAAGGTTTCTTCTACCTACACCCTCCAAACCGCCCAAGACCAAGTCTTCCCCACCAACTGACAGCGCCTGTAAAGTCCGCCCATGAAGTCCGCGCATCAACTCTGCCCGTAAACGCCACCCGTAAGCTCGCGCGTGAACTCCACCCATCTGGTCGCCCGTGAGGCTGCAGTTACAATGTCAGGCAGACTGCTCCACGAGACCTTCGTAAGCAGTTAGCTCAGAAGAAGTGCCCGTAATATGCCGAAACCTGGATGAAAAGGCTTGCCTCTCTACGGAATTAAGGGCTCCAGTTTAAAGGCACCCTTAAGGGCAGGTTGCGCGCGACGCAAAGATTGGAAGACTTTACAGGAAAGCGACATCCTTCCAGACGCATGCGAGAATCAATGCAAGTAGCAACAGAGGCTTACCCAAACACCGCCTCTGCTCGTGTTGAGAGCGCTCACGAAAGAGCCGTCGTTGCAGAAAGGACCAGGATAGTCGGAAGATCTTGCTCATGGTGGGCTTTGCTGGCGGAAACGTCACTCGTTTTCAATCTGTAGACAAAGCTTTTCGGGGAAAAAGCAGATGACAAGAGAAGAAGCCTGGAAAAACAACGAAACATCAGCATTAAGGGCCCTTTAAGGGCTCTGCAGGCTACGAGTACATGAGAAGTTTGATGGTTTGACAACAGCTCTGTGGGATATAAATGCGCGAGATTGCTTGATTGTGCCGACAATTTGGAGAGCGGCTCCGGTCCCTTCTTTATTTGCCCAAACTCCGCAGCACTGTTTGAACAATGCCGCCTAGTGGATTCGTCAGATGAATTGGGCAAACACGGAGCAGAATCGTGCAGTAGACTGAAACATGACGACATGTAGATGATTTTTTTTGTGCGGGGGTCCGAGCCGGGAAAAGGAAATGCGGAAGCTGCTCCTGCTTGAGGGGAATGTGGAGCGGCCTCAAGCTCCGAAAAAAGAAAATTATATACATATATATATATATATCATGGTGGACCTGGGGCCTCCTTCAAAATCATCAGTATCGACACTCACCGATATTCACACATGTTCAGTCGCATGTCAACACATGCTCACGATTGTAACCTTTATGCTCATACTTATGTTAGCTTTTCAAAGCATGGGGTCGAGGAGATCCATTCCCAACTGTGTTCATTTGTCATCCTGCACAGGCAAACTTCAGACTTCAAGGCAGAGTCGAGCAGGTACCGTGTCACGGACCCGCCACCAGGTGGCAACGCAGAAGTCTAGAGCTGATTCAAAATACAAATGCCCGATCAGGCAGGAAAGGAAACTTACAAGGTCTCGCCCTTTCATCAAGGCAGCACTCAAGATTGCAAGCGGGCTGAATAGCTCATCACTCACAAGCAGCAGGTGCACACAAAGCATCACCAAGCCACACGAAGCCGCACTTGCGCAAAAAATGCAAAGACATGCAAAACCACGCTGGCAATTGCAGCGCGTGCCAGACAGGGTGACTTGACGTTCATTCCGACGTTCCAACGGTCAACTTTGAGTAGACAGTCGACAAACGGGCTGGACAGCGCCCCTGGCCCCTTCTTCCAAAATGGCGACCAGGATGTCGCTGCTGGCCAGCAAGAGAAGCAGGTCGCGCAACATCCTGAAGGACCCTCCTATGTGACACATACCCGCGATGGGTTCTTTTTGCTGCTTGAGGCAAGCGACTGGCTGTACTGTAATACTACCGTAATCAGATCTTTGCCAGTCCACCACGCCGCCTGCTGAGCACGCACCTTCTTGCTCCAGAACACGATCAAAATGACCGAGAGTATGAAAACGATACGATCGACCGTCTCCACCACACAGTCGTCAACGATGTCGTCAACGTCGTTATCTACGGGCATACTACGACCATATTAACACATTTCACAAGCCCATGACGCATGGGTCCGGTGGCTTTGCAAAAACCTGCCCAAAAGTCGTCAACATAGTCACACACGACGTGAGACAAGTAAATGAAATGACTAAGCCGAAGCAAACAACCAGCCACCCTGGACCACCAATTTAAAGTGCGGCAAATGTGAAGCCTATTCTGCTAAGAAAAACTGAAGAGTTGGATCCCCCGGACAGACTCCCTCCTCCAACAAGGAGCAAAGTTTGTACTCAGGATCGCCCATCTGAGCCCAGAGAGCCTGCAAAATCTTGTCGAACAAGCATCAGAACGAGAGTGGTCATCAAAAAACGACGTTGAATTGGTGGCCCTGCTGTGGCAGATGCACCAAGTTCCTCTCCAAGAGGAGATTTGCCTGGGCATTGTTCAGGATCCTTTCGAGCACTGATCCAAGAAAAGGGGACTGCCTCCGCTGGTCACAAGTAATTATCATTTTCAATGACCGGGGCACTCTCTCCGCAGAGCGGGACCTGACCTGCGACAATACTACTGGGAGCTCTGCGGCGCGCGTTGTCATAGCCGAACTGGCCCCAATAAACGTGTTTGCCCCCGAATGACTTCATCTTCTCTGCTGCGTGCGGAATCGCCGAACACGAGAGGTCTCATTCGTGTGCTGGACGAACTGCTTAGTTGCCTGTGTATAGCTGTTTTGAACAAACCCGGCTACCAGATCCAGGATATCCGGCTTGAGGTTGCTGCAGGAAAGTTAATGCGGCAGCTTGCAGAGATCTTGACCTGACCTGCGTCTGGAGGGAACTGACCGCGGCATGGCCATCCTGCTTTGACACTCCCACGGAATCCCACGGAGATCCCATGGCTCACTCACTGCCTGAGGCCATCGAGTGGTTCCCTTTTCCTAACTTGTTTGCTGATCAGCATGAGACTTGATTGAACAATCAGATTCAACTATTTGGATCTGCGCTACTGCATGCTGCTACAAGTAGGTGTCCAATTCTGCAGTCATCTGATTTAGCTGTGCAAACAACCAACAGTACTGACAGTACCTTTGTGTAATTACTTAGGGCATAAGCTTAAAGCCATGACATCTACCCCTTGCTTTCCTGCCTGGGGTGAAGGCAATTCCGCAAGCAGAGATGCCAAGACGGCCACTGCGTGGATCTCCAGCTCCGAGTGCGCCTGGAAGGCTGTCGCAATTCGGCCCAGGACCCAAACGAAGTGACAACTGAACTGTTGCCAGCAACACGCAACACGACAGACATGCGGTCGTTGAAGCCATTCATTGCCCGCGTCTTGGTGATCAAGGGTGGTCAATGAAGCCCCATTTAAGTCAAAAGCTGACGTGCCCAGCCTCTGAGTCATCCATAGAGGGCGGCCTTGGTGGTCATACTACAAGCATATCCAGTGGAAAAGGTTGTCTCCGTTTGTCAAGGTTTGAACTGCCAGACGCGCATGATGATTTTTAAAGGATGGAAGCCGTCGAGACAAATCCAAAGGCCCAGCTTGCGTAGGCAAGATGAATGGCTTTGCATTAGAATGAAATCCAAACGGCAGTGCTCAGCGTGAGGCTTGCAAAAGCCCTGGGCATTCAAAAGCTGCATCAAGGACTCCAGCGCGGCCAGCCTGGCCTTGGTGAGCTGCCATTGCGCAGCCACGCGTGCTTTGGCTTTAGCTTTGGCTTCAGAAGAACAATGTCTCTCTTTCCACGTGTGCCTTACGCCTTGCCTTGCAAGGTGCAGGATGGTGCAGGAACCGAGGCCTGCGCCGCAGGTTCCGCCCTGCATCATGAACGCAGGGCATGCGTCATGCATTGCTTGAGGCAGATGTCCCCAACGGGCAACTGGGACCCCAGAGACACGCAAACAGCTTTGCGTGCTGACAATTGGCCGTTGATGAAGCCGAACCTGGAGTCGATGGCAGCGCGAGCAAGGCCAGCGGGCAAGTCACCCAGGTCCTTTTGCTATGCTCACCGCGTCAGGCAAGTGACGAGCAAGCTGGAAATTAGCTTGTCTGGCGTATCCCCTGCGGAGACTCAACACAGGGCCTGGCCCCACATTTCAGGGTCATCGCGAACTGCCACAGCCAAGGCCTGGAACAAAGCCTGACAGACAGAGCAAGGCAGAGCAACACAAAAACAACGATGTTGTAACATTCTATGGCTGCATTGACGCAGGAGAGAGGCACCGCGAATCAGCGCCAATGCAACGCATGCAGGACCTGCACAGCTCCTTCAACCAAGCCCTCTCTTGTGGGGCACGAAGGACAAGCCTTCGATTTTTTCCCCAGATCCATATCAAATCTTTGTATAGATCGCCGCTATCCTTGCACTGTACAGGCAGCTCTGATAGGCAAGGGGCGTGGGGCCGTCATTCCTGGCTCTCTCCAGATTTCAGAAGCACTCTTCAAGCAGGCTGTCCAAATTGGATGTCATGCGGTCATGCGTTTCCAGAAAACATCTTGTAAAATCGTTGATGAATCTTCGCTGGATGTTTGCCGATGCCTTCCCATGTTCGTGCACGAATTAGCAAGTCTCTGCCAGGGCATTGCCAGACGTCCTGAGCACTGAGAACTGACACCTGTGCAGGGTTGTGCTGGATGCAAACGTTGAAGGGAAGCAGTGATTCCATGTCGAACGACGAGCAATGCGAGGCCAATTGAGATTTCAACATCTCAGCCCATGCAGGCCGTGGCGAAGATCGAATGTAAACCCTCTCCCGGCCTACCGAGCCTCATCTAGCTCCTTGATAGGAAAGTGTGGCCTGAGCTGGAGGAGTCATGTGACATACTGTCTGGATTTATTGAAAGTCTGGTTCATGCGGAACACTGAGGCACGTACGGAATTCATTCCGGGACCAGAGGGATTTGCTTTGCTGGGAGACTCTCTGCTTAGTTTCCGGGGATTGAGCAGAGGGCCTAGGTTGGCAAAAAGAAAGCTTCGAAGTTTGGCATAAGTCCCTCAAAGCTTTAGATCTTCATGTGTTCCAATAAGCTCTTAGAGGTTTTCAGGGCAGAAGGGTTGCAATACCTGTACCACCCAGTAAAAATTCGCCGCACCGCTGCCTGCTAGAAACACAGCACGTGCGACGACTAACCCAGGACCAAGCGACCACGGGACCAAAAGACTACGGGATTGACGCACCACATCGCACCACCTACTGACCTGCTGTTAACTGGTAGCCAATACGTGCAGTAGCAACGCAAGAATAACCAAACTAGACGGCCACTGAAGGAAAAGAACCAGCGCAAAGGACACGGAGCATGTTAACATGCTGGGCAGACAGATATCCGTTCTATGTGCGCATGATTTCCGCTGCCTAGCCAACAGGGTTCCTTCTTGATCCCGGATCATCTTGGGACTCCAGATCAAACTACTCTGCATGAACGATCCTCCGCTGGCTACACCTCCCTCCCAGCAAAGGTGGCAACGTTTTTGGGAAAGCCATTCCGCATGCAAGAAACTGCAATTGACAGACCGACTTTCACACTCGGCGGCGCCACTGTGTACTGTATTTCGTATTTACACACATTATCATTCATAGCAGACATGACCGACTCATCCTGAGTGGCCGACGGGCTATTTGCCTGGCCGCCGACGTTGAACCTAGCTAACCGCTCCATTCAAGCTCTTCCTCATACTTAATCTTGATTCATGTGAAGCATCGTCATTCACGAGCTCCATAGGAAGACGCAGGCTGCAAAACTCATCTGTAGCGGTCGGCTCCAACAGAAATCTGAGACATGGACGTAGGATTGCTCTTGACTTGAGAGTCCACGAAGGCAAAAGGATTGCACTCCAGGTAGCTGTCTTTCTGGGAGGCAGGCGTAAACGGGTGCCAGCGAATCGGGCGCAAACAGCTCACAATATCTCACAATGCTGCGTACCATGCAGCAAGATTCCAGTAAGGCCTACATCACCAAGACAAAAGTTTCGACATGCCAAGGTACATCTCATAAGTACATTTTAGCGCGGAGAGATTTCCAGGGCAGAAGGTCCGTTTTATGTGGCCGGCGTGGCTGAGTAATTACGATCCGGGAATAAACTTACACTATTGTAAAGTCCCGGCGGAGAGCCTGTGCTAGGTTGCCCTTGCCGCACACATTGCATTGTAAGCCCGTGTGGCGAACTTTTCTCCTACCGCAGTACCATGGTAACAAGGAATCATGCATGCTGCAATCTGCAAACAGTTGTGCACGTGTGTGTGTGTGTGTACGTATACATACGTAGTATATGTATGTATACATCACAAATATATATATATATATACATACATACATATTATATAGATATATACATACATGCACGACATAAACAAAAACAGAGTGCGTGGGTCATGTTGCGAAACAATCTACGCAGTGATATGTGGCACGTTGACACGACTTCTAAATTACGTTTTCTTAACGCTGTTCAGGTTTTAAGTTTTATATGCTTTATCTCTCCAGTACAGGATCCAAAGGAGAGGTCTGTGCCAGTATGCTTGGGGCAAAGAAACTGGGAGGAGTCACAGTGAAGCAGGGAAGCCTCATATACATATGTGAGTATGCATGCGTTACATCTTTGTTTCTTGCTTTGCATATGATGTGGCCTTGCAACAAGAAAAGGAGGAGATTCGGTTGTGGTACTCACCGTCCGTGAGATCGCTGCACCTTGGCACGCCACTTGTCAGCTCCAATTGTTTAGCTGTGGCGCAGAAGAGGTGTTAGAAAATCATCGAACCAAAAGCTGATTTCACCTTGGGTGGCTATGAGCGTGGCTTCTTGTAGCACTGTCCAAGGAAAAGCTCCTTGCAAAGAAGGTGCAGCCAATCCAATGCGCTTGCGTGCTGCGATGTTCTACGTCAGGCAATTCGAGCCCACAACTGTATCAACAGCAAGACTGCGTTTTTTGGTTTTCTTCCGTGCCACCCAAACACATTGCTATATCAATTGTTGCCAACCTGCCTCGTTGGCATAGCAGTTGCCCGTTTTATGCGGGCAGGCACCTCCACCAATTGTTGGCATGACTTCTGGTCCGCATGGCTTGAATGAAGGTCAGGCATTGCATGCGCTGCAGGTCAACCGATCGGCTCGATATTGCCACTACAGCCACTACACAATTAACAGCAGAAAAACCTCCAGCTTGATGCCTTGCTAAGCATTGCACAATGCCTGCCATGACCCTTTGAGTCCCAATTGAAAACAACAAGCGTAAACATTGGTTTCAGGCAGAGCATGCAGAGCGCAGAGGATGAGAGCCGTGGGATCATGCTTCAGTAGCGAGGTGATACCACTGCTGCAGTGTGCAAACCCAGGCAGCCCTACGAAATCTGCACCTGTTGCAACTTCTTCTGGCTCAACGGGCCTTCTTGGCCATTGATGTCTCCAGATACGTCAAAACCGTCACAGATGGACATCTTCATCTGGGGTCAGGCAAGAGGATGCAAGCAGCAGGACTATTTCCTCATCCTTGTACAACATTTCTCTCCGAACGGGGCTGCTTAAGTAGGAACACATTGTGTTTGTGCGGGACTCTGACACACAAACATGTCCACGCCTGGTTGAATCGACCATTTGCGGCAATGGCCGAAGAGCTTCTTATTCAAATATTTGAAAGGCCCTGAGTCGCGATTATCCTCCAAGACATATCAAGTCAGCCAATTCTGAGTCCAGTACCTCTTGATTGTTGAACCCACAGTCCTGGCACTTTCGGTACTGATGCTAGGCACTATAGAGGTCTGTCATCCACCTCATGACTTGAAAGCTCGGCTGCCTGTAGACAGAGAGCCTCATGCTAGATGAATGCGATCGCGCTGTCTCTTGCTGCTTCGTCCGTCTGTGGAATGGGGCCGCCTACTTCTTGCAGAGCTGGCCATGCAATGTTGTTGAGCGTTTTTGCTCCTCTGATTTGTTTCATCAGCACATCGCAACGTCAAGAGCTTTTGCAGACACACATGAGGGAACCAACCATGCACACTCGTCGCACCGCGCATCAAGTTGCATGACGTATGCCTGACCTCTACAGCAGTCCTCAATCTTCTCTGCTGCGCAGCAGGTAAATGCTGTGGTTCGGATGTTGTGAGTACCTAGCAGCAGACAGCAGCCAACAGCACTGAAGCTTTCCAAAAAAGAAGGTGGTTGTTTGAACCAACTTGTGTGAAAAGACTGTTTTTCTTGACAAATCCTTTCGTGGATCGCCATCTGCGATGTGGCCGCATTGTTACCGGCACCATTGCGGTACTGGAGGAGGTATTGACCAAGTATTGCCTGTCAATAAAACACCGTAACACCAGTCCTAGCTAGTATTAGCTAATACCAGAATGATACGGTGCGGGCTGGTGTACGGCAAGCTTGCCGCCAGCACGGGTGCGTTTGCTGGGCTTAGTTTCGCGAAACTTCTGTAGCTTCTTTTCGACCGATTGCCCCAATTTCATGAGCCGTAGTATCTGTCTGGGATACTCGTAGCTGGGTTGCCATGAATTGGGAAGGCGGTCAAATCATGTCAAATCTACGACCTAACGGACGGGCGTGAGAGGATCAAGATGGATAAAGGGTTCACAGCAGTACATTGGCGGCATGCAACGGCGCTCGCGGCCTTACGACTGCGTATGATTCTGTAGAGCTCTTGCGCGCCGGCGCAGCTTGTAAACTTGTACTCGTCGGGATCTTCAAGGTCACATGCTCTCAAGGAGCCTGTCCCGGAATACTCCCAAGTTGCAAAATCTGCAAACACAGCCGAGCACCCCTCCTCTCTGGACCCTCTGGCTCAAAGCTGAGTTGCCATCCGTAAGAATTGAGCACTTCTTGTAGCAAACTCCTTCGAATTTCTCCTGCAAGTCCAGTTGTCAAAGCGATCGACGTAATCTCTGAACTCAGAATGCATGCCTCGCGCAAGTCAACAGAAAGCTCAACTGACGACTTGTTCAGGTCTGAACGTGGTACTGGATCATTGTTGAAATCCTCGTCATCATTGCAGGGATTGCCATCGTTGAGGTCCGCCTTTGGTGCTATGGCCTTAAAGCAAAGAGTTCCAGGTCAAAGTGCTTCCGTTCTTGTGTCCCAGATGCAGCTATGGCCAATGAAAAGAAGAAAAGCCGTCCAAAGTAGGTCGAAAGCACTGCTGCCCACCCAGCCCCTCAAGACTGGAATCACTGCATCTGTCAATGTCTATCATGGCTCATGGAAACAAATTGTGCGTAGAGGTACGGGAGAATACAGCTGCCTTTAAGTCGCTCGCGCTAGGGGTAGCGACTGATGCCGGGAGCGACCTGGGCGCCAGCATCTAAAACATTGACTTCAAAGCAAACAGTAGCTAGAATAACAAACTGAAGCGGAAAAGTGAACCCAATGAAAGATGGGAGTGGCGGGCGGCGGGCAATGCAAACAAAGATGAGGTCATGATGTGCAGGACGATGATGACGAGACTGACGATGATGCGGATGACGAAGGCGTTGCTGAGGATGGAGCGGACAATGAAGCCCATCATGAGATTAAAATGACATGACGACAATGACAGTGAGCAGGAGATCAGATAATGTACATAAGAGTAGACAAGATGGCAAGAAAAAGATGACAAGTAAGCCGGGAACAGCGCATAGTGTTTTAGCAAGAGCATCAAACCGAAATGAATGGAGGATGCCCATGCTGATTTTGACAGTGGCAATGACGGTTGTGCTGAGAATAGATAGTAATTAGCTGCATATGACAAGCGTGTCAGAAATAACAAGCGAGACATGCGTGGCTGTCGCGAGATGAAGATGAAGGCACCGGCATCGATGACCATGACTGGCCAAGATGCTGACGAGGATGATCACGATCTTTCACTCGCCGCGAAAGGTTCACGATGCGACAATGATCACGATGAGGATGATGATGATTAACCAAGACAATGATGACGACGATGTATGATGATGACGGTGACTACCAACAAGCTGCAAGCAGCCATGTCATGAACACGATGACCACGATGATGGTCAGCAGCAGGCTGTGCTGCTGGTGATGATGCTGACGATGATGGCGATGGCGATGAGATGCGATGAGGATGCGGATAAGCAGACCATGCTCTCAATGCAAGTTTGCTTAGAAAACGCTATCAGTTGACAGTTTCCAGCCGCAAGGGGCTCTGCGGCCAGATAGTCAAAAAACTGGTCCCACTAGCTTTGGGCAGGACTTGACCAAACTTAATGAGCCGTATTCGTGCTAATTCACATTCATTGCCTTTCGAAACAATTGCGGTGGCATTGTTCTTCTTGTTTACGAATCTCGTTGTTTCTTGTTGCATGGAATTATAGTTTGCGCAAGGCACCCTTTCGGGTGTCGCTTCGTACAAGTTCGAGAAAACAGGATCGTGACTCAGGCCTCGTGACTCGGAAGCCACGTCAACTGACAGCATCAACTTTCAAGGCCCTCAGTGGTGGAGGGCGGCATGCTGTCTCAAAGGTGCTGCAAGGTAGCATAGCAATGAATACAAGCAACACCCGATCAGCGCGTGTACATCGTGTACGAACAGTTGCTACAGTAAATTGTGTGTCTGGGGCATCCACATGGGCGTGAAAGTGCCGGTCATAATCCAGTCGCTGCTTTTCGACATGACTCCCGTCATCCTGGCCTTGCAAGTTTTGCAGGTCAACTAAATTGCTGTTTGTCCATGCGGATGGGAAGCTAAGCCCTCAAAAGAATCTCAAGCGCAACGGTTGGGCTTTGGGGCCTTGAGCGGCCCAATGGACGCTGGAAGGCTCACAAGGACAACAGCCACCTGGGCAGGTAGAGCAGGTACTTGGACGTGCTTCATAGAAGACAGCGCTAAAGCAGTGCAGGCCGCATCTGTGCTCGGACGGAGCATAGACAAATGCCGGAACCAACTAGTCACATGTGGTCAGTGCAGCCTGCAACTTTCCAGAATCGGAAAGACGGACGTGAGTGCCCAGCAAATACAAGCGTGGCCAAAAGCCCAGCAACCTGGCGGTGTTATTAAATGCTACGTCCGGTTCAAAAATCCCGCACATTCTGATAGTCATCTGGCTTGCTTGGTTGCGTCGAGAAGGGTCGACAGGCGCGAAACGCAACCTCAGTGCTGGGCTCGCCAGGCGCTGGTGCGGCTTCTTGGCTCCTCACTCTTGAGATCTGGTGGGACAGGAAAAGCCCCAAGGTCAGCGCATATGTGCAAATTACACGTGTTGGTTGGACTCAGCACTATAGGCATCAAAGCAGCAGCATGTCGCACATCAATGTGTCTGCAAGCATTGCAAACCACAGACCTCTCCGGTTCCTGTTGCACTCGGAGAACCAACGAACCAAGCTTTCGAGTAACGAACCAGTCCTCTAACAGCGTATCCGAACTACTGCCATCCTCCAGCTCAACGTCCTGCAAGGGAGAAGCGAGCCAGGCTTTTGAACAAACACAAAACTCAGAGCAGAGGGCCGATTACTGCATGCGATGGACACTGTGGCCCGTATTGGAGGTTGGGGAGCAAAAGCACGGACATCACGCTGCAAAGGCTCTCAGGTTCCGCCACACTTTCAGGAAGCCGTTGTAACTGAAGCACTTTGTAGCTTCGACTTCTTCTAAATCTTGAATCAAGAACAGCATGCCTCCTCCCCCTACAACAACAACAACTACTACTGCTGCTACTACTACTACTACTGCTGCTACTACTACTACTCCTCCTCCTACTACTACTTCTACTACTACTCTACTACTACTACTACTACTACTACCACTACTACTACTACTACTACTACTACTTCTACTACTACCACCACCACCACCACGACTAC